TCCTGTGGGGTTTCTCAAACATTGTCAAAGTCATGTTGAGATTAATGGGAAGAACCCTTCGAGCCAACATTCAAAGATTACAGACTTGGAAAGATAATATTCTGTGTGAAACCAATCACTCCGAGATAAACAATGTACAGTATTAGGTATAAAGTAAATCTATATTTAAAGTGAAATGCCAGCCAAAACTCATTTTCTTTTACAGCACAGAGAAAGGACAACATTTTTAGTAGATGGGAGGGATTGTTATCACGGTCTATACCAGCAACATTGTATGGGAAAAAGAATAGAGGGAAAATGCACCAAATGTACGTGGTTAGCACTTCTACCTCGCAGCACTAGGGTCATCGGTTCGAATCCCGACGATAGAACTACCTGCTTGGAGTTTGCATGTTCTCCCTGTGCTTGTGTGAGTTTCCTCTGGGTACTCTGGTTTGCTCCCACACTGAATGTGAGATAAAGACCTTAGGTTGAAAGCTCCTTGAGGAGCATTGTATACACATTCATATATACACATACTACGGCCAAATTAGACAAGATCCAATTAACCTACCAGCATGTTTTTGGAGTGTGGAAGGAAACCCACACAGGCACAGAGGGGAACATGCAAACTCCAAGTGGTGCTGTGGTTGGGATTCGAACCAATGACCCTAGTACTGCCAGGCAGAAGTGCTAACCATTTAGCCACTGTGCTGCCCCAAATAAACACAGCTGCAGATAGAGCAGGGATGTGCAATTCATATCACCCAACGCCCGGGACATGTAGTTTCAGGCGCCAGGCAGGTAGCTTCTTTTTTTTTTGCCTTTAGCCCTGCTGCGGGCAAGCAGCAGGGCTCATCTGTCAGGTGGAAGCATTCGTGCAGCAGCAATGCTGCTCGATTGCTTCCACATAGCCCACAGTGCCAGCCGCTGCCCCCCCCCCCCCACTTGCTATATGTCCCGGGCTCCGCTTACCCATCTGCGGATCTGCGGGCCTGTGACTGGTCCAGTGGAGGCTGGTGGTATGTCGGGATGCGGGTATAGAGGAGGAAGGAGAGCGAACAAGTCTGCTCCCCTCCCTTTTCCTGACCCGGAAGTGATGTGACGGCAATTCTGGGTCCCCAATGTCAGATTCCCGGCCATTGAGGCCGGGAAAGAATGTAATGCAGTGCGATGTGCACTGCATTACATTCAGTGGAGCACAGGGGAGACAAGCAGGGTCCTTTAGACCCTGGATGTCTCAAAAAAGAGAACCTGTCACCAAAAATCATCACATAGAGGACTTTTTGTCCCCTAAGTGATAAAAAAAAAAAGTTAAAAAGTAAAAAAAAAGTTTTTTTTTTTTTTTTTTTAAATGTGACACCCAAGCATATAACCCCCCAAAATTTTTCAAGGCCATCCACCCCCACATATGTACGCATGCACGCACAAACGTTAAAGCATGCGCTGGTGCGTCTACACAGGAAAACGATGATTGCAATACACGTTACATATCGCCGCACACGCCAGAATAAGAGCAATAATTCTAGCACCAGACCACCTCCGTAACACTAAACTGATGACCTATAAAAATGAGCTTTAAAAGCGTCGCCTGTAGAAAATATAGGGTACTAAAGTTTGATGCCATTTCACGAGCGCATGCAAATTTAAGGTTTGACATGTTGGATATCTATTTACTCAATGCAACCTCGTCTTTTATAGTGTACAAAAATTTGGATAATTTATTGCTTTTTGTGCCCTAAATTTAAGAAGCGTATTTTTTTATTGGACCTTTGTGATAATATTGTGTGACATAAAAAAACTGGAACTACCGCTATTTCATTCTGTAGGGTCTCTGGTTTCAGAAAATATATCATGTTTCGGAGTTATGTGTAATCTTCAGGCCTTAAATTATTTTTTAAACGTGTGCAAAAAACGCAAAAACGGCTCTGACAGTGAAAGGGATAAAGGATATGCCTGACACTCCCCTTTCCTGACAAGCACCCAATTGGTGCTCATTATACTGCAAGGTCTTTCCCATCCCTGCTAGCCCAGGTGTGTTGCAGGAGATGGGCGGGGGTGGGGAGGTGATAAACAGCGCAATGTTAAACATATTAAACATTTCAGTCACCATAAAGCCCCTTTTGTTTTTAAAAGCCCCAGAAATTCCATAAAGCACCTCAGATTTAAATACGGTTTTGGTTAAAATGTATTTAGTTTTTTTTTCATCAGGAGAAGTAGGTTGTCATGAGGGACAAGTAGATTGGGGCACCAATTTAGTCCTTGGACAAGTAGTTTTTTAAAAAATGTCCACACATCCCTGTAGAGGGTGTCTGTAAGAGAATCGATCTGAGCTGTGTGTTGGGTCAGAGGAGGAAAGTAGAGGAGAGGAGCTGTGCTGCCTGTACTGAGACTATGAGCAGTATAGGGATGTAAAGAGCCCAACTGGCACAGCTTCCAAGGGGAATGGGGGGGGGGCAAAAGTGAAATCTTGGGGGGCACACAGCGCTCCCAAACACCTCCCCCTAGATCCAGCCATGTCTACACCACTTATGTCTTTTCCACAATGCACAGGGATAGCACAGTGCCTGAACTCTTTTACTGTTCAGGTTTTCAAGTAGGTGTGGCCACATCTCCCAGTGGAGGAGGTACAGGAGGGGGTGGATTGCTGAAGTTGTAACTGCCCCCTCTAAACTTTCAAACAGCAAATGGACGTTTATAGGGGCCTACATGACAGATGAAGTGCCCCTGCTGGAAAAAACAAAAGGATGGAGGAAAGAGATAACAAACGATTCATGGTTATGAGAATATTTTTAGCCTATCCTATACTTTTACTTTAATAGTTTTTGGATTTAATACTGCTTTTAAGTGGAATTTAAAAAAGTTGGGGAACCAGCAGTATTTTTAAAGCAGAAGAGACATATTAGTGTTTCTTACCTGCCTGTCTGCCCTTGCACACACAGCTCTATGTCCAATGTCAGCAGTGCCAAGATACATGAACTCCTGTACATGAGCGGGAGTGCTGTTACCTCATGGGTACATGGGAGCAGCCCTGCTGAAGATGTCAGCAGCCAATGCAGGGCGCCAGGACACTGCAGCACTGGAGGAAGGTATAGTTTTGCTTTCAGCTAGCACAATCAGCTACAATTCAAGCTGGGAGTGGTCCTGACAGCACCACCAGCCTCCAAAAAAAATTGACTAAGCCAGGTAGAAAATTCTTGGCTATACATTGACTGCATACTATCAGATAGTTACTAGGCAGCTGCGGGTGCTGCAGCTTCCTATTTAGCATGAATGGAGTACTATATCAATTTCCTCTCATTCTGTCCACAGACTGAACACGATAAATCTAAAAGTGTATTACATCATTCCTTATTCATGCATCATAAATTGAACACATGATGGAGACAAATAAATGGTGGTAATCTGTCATGTCCAGAATAAATTCTTCACATCCCGTGTACTAAAGTACCTGAAAAAGAATTGTAGGCAGTGGACATAAGACAAGGGCCTATGGAACTTTTACACAGACTAATCCCACTAGTGTGACACATCAGAGAAAAGTAATTCTGGAGAATGCTTTAAATTATAATCTATCTTAACCACTACAGGATCAGCTAATGGTGCTTGCACCCAGATAGAACAAGAACTCTGAGCATTCCCAGCTCAGCAGGATGCCAGTCTGTGGAATATCATTTCCTGTCATACATCACACAGCGTGAAAGGAGGTCTGCTGCCTTTGGGGTTTAATGGAACCTTGGGTGATTAGGAGTCTGTAAAAAATACTTCTGCTGTGTTACCCATGAAGATGGGTGCACTATATGAGGTGGTTTCAATCTTATAGGCTCCCTGCTCAGACACAACTGTAAGACCACACAAGAATGTGCAAAGCAAGCATGTAGAAAGCGTAAAGCGCAGCACTACTCAGCTAGACTCAGGGAAAAAGTATAAGACCATATTCCAACAGTAAACATGGGGCATACTCACTTTTTATATGAACAAGGCACAATAATAATAATAATAATAATAATTGGTGTTCCTTCACAGTGTTATTTTTATGTTTCACTGTAAACATTTTAAAAAAATGTAAATAAAGAATGTTTAAAAAAATAATAAACATAATTGGCATTGTAGGTGCAATATACCAATACAGAGGGTAGTACTCCCTCTTGCATTCCTATTATAATGAACAGGAAAATACTGTAGAGTGGTAAGAAGACATTGCCCTAAGAGCTCAGAAAACTCAGAGTAAAGAATAATGTAGAAGAAAAATATCAGGTCTTTCCTATTGTATTTTGACCTGTTCATTCCATTTTCATATGCCGTATTTTTCGCTCCATAAGACGCACCTAGGTTTTAGAGGAGGAAAACATGAAAAAAAAATATTCTGAACCAATGGACTGCAGACATAGTACAAGAAATTACCAAAGACTGCGGACATACTACAGGAGATGACCAGCAGACTGCAGACTGCGGACATAGTACAAGGGATGACCAGAGACTGCGGACATACTACAGGGGATGACCAGAGACTGCGGACATACTACAGGGGATGACCAGAGACTGCGGACATACTACAGGGGATGACCAGAGACTGCGGACATACTACAGGGGATGACCAGAGACTGCGGACATACTACAGGGGATGACCAGAGACTGCGGACATACTACAGGAGATGACCAGAGACTGCGGACAGTACAGGAGATGACCAGAGACTGCGCACACAGTACAGGAGATGACCAGAGACTGCGGACACAGTACAGGAGATGACCAGAGACTGCGGACACAGTACAGGAGATGACCAGAGACTGCGGACACAGTACACAGATGACCAGATGCGGACACAGTACAGGAGATGACCAGAGACCCTGCGGACACAGTACAGATGACCAGAGCCTGCGGGCACAGTACAGGAGATGACCAGAGACTGCGGACATACTGCAGGAGATGACCAGAGACTGTGGACATAATACAGGGGATGACCAGATTCTGCGGACACAGACAGAATACAGGGGATGACCAGAGACTGCGGACATAGTACAGGGATGACCAGAGACTGCGGACACAGTACAGGGGATGACCAGAGACTGCGGACACAGTACAGGGGATGACCAGAGACTGCGGACACAGTACAGGGGATGACCAGAGACTGCGGACACAGTACAGGGGATGACCAGAGACTATGGACATAGTACAGGGGATGACCAGACTCTGCGGACATAGTACAGGAGATGACCAGAGACTGCGGACACAGTACAGGGGATGACCAGAGACTGCGGACACAGTACAGGGGATGACCAGAGACTGCGGACACAGTACAGGGGATGACCAGAGACTGCGGACACAGTACAGGGGATGACCAGAGACTGCGGACACAGTACAGGGGATGACCAGAGACTGCGGACACAGTACAGGGGATGACCAGAGACTGCGGACACAGTACAGGAGATGACCGGAGACTGCAGACATAGTTAAGGGGATGACCAGAGACTGCAGACATAGTACAGGGGATGACCAGAGACTGCGGACATAGTACATGGGATGACCAGAGACTGCAGACCTTTGGGGAGCGGAAGGTCCCAGAAGACTGGCGAACCATTCTCAAAGCGCAGCGGTTCTCGCACATGCGCAGTGGGCACCCAGCTGTGAAATCGCAAGCTGTCACAGCCAGGTGCCTACGTTAAAAATGCAGGCGCCAGGGAGAGAAGACGAGGACACCGGTGGACCGAGGAACAGGTAGGACCGAGGAGCAGGTTCTGCTGCACAGAAGAGCCAAGCGGCCAGCCCAGTATTCTAACATGGAGGCGAAAATACCAGGCTGGCCACTCCATAAGACGCACAGACATTTCCCCCCATTTTTTTTTTTGGGGGGGGGGGGGAGTGCGTCTTATGGAGCAAAAAATACGGTATATATTTCATACATATAGCGGGTATAGAAAAGAATCAACCCCTTTAAAATAACATTTGTTTGTTGTTTTGCAGCCTGTAATGAAGACAGACACAGTTTTTGTTTCATCCAGCTGTATTTACTCTCTATAAGCTGTATAAGTGCAACTTATAACATCCAAATGAATGATGACACCAACATGTCAAAAAAGAAAATTAAAAACCAGAATCACTAAGTGTTGGAAAAGGACCACCCCCTTGTATCAATATATTGTTGAACCGCCTGCTTTGACCGTTTGTGGACTGCAGTCTTCAAGTCATTCCACAGATTTTCAATGGGGTTTATGTCTGGGCTCTCACAAGGACTACAAGGACATTCACCTTTTTCTCCTTCAACCACTGTGTGGTCATTTCGCTGTGCTTTGGGTCACTGTCATGTTGGAAGGTAAACGTTCTTCCCATTGACAACTTTCTGGCAAAGGGCAGCAGATTTTCCTTAGGAATTTTACGGTATTTTGCCCCATTCATTTTACCTTCTATCCTGACAAGTGCTCCAGTCTCTGCTGCAAAGAAAATCCCCCATAACATGATATTGCCACTTCCATGCATTACTGTAGGAATGGTGTTATTTGGATGGTGTGCTGTAAAGGATTTCCTCCAGACATATTGTTTAGTGTTGAGGCCAAATAATTCAATTTTAATCTCATCTTTCCAAAACACCTTTTTCCATATGGCCTCAGCATCTTCAAGGTGCGTTTTGGCAATGCTCAGTCGTGACTGTATGTGGCTTTTTTCTCACAACCCTCCCTTACAAGCCATATTTGAGGAGAATGTGATATTGTTGTCACATGCACACAATAACCACTCTGTCAAACATTCCTGCAACTGCTTCAAAGTTGCAGTAAGCCTCTTGGTAGCCTCTCTGACTAGTTTCCTTTGGACTCTTTCATCCAGTTTGAAGCGGCATCCAGATCCAGGGAGGGTCTGTGTTGTACCAAATACCTTACCTGCATGATGTGCTCTAGTTCACACTGCATTAAAGAGTAAGGCTTGGTTCACATCTGAGCGGGTGGTGCCACTGCGGGACCTGCACAAAAGTACCTGCAGCCGCACCACCTGCACAGAGGAATGCGGGACCTGCAGGTGGGTGCCATTAGTTCAAATGGCACGCCGTCCGCACTGGAAAACACAACCGTACTGGGAACCGAGGTTCCCGTGCAGGCTGCATTTCCTGAAGAAGTCCTGGGGTACGGGAGTCCATTCAAATGAATGGGCTCTTGTGCCCGTACAAAACGCAGCCCGCATGGCTGCACATATGTGAACCAGGCCTAACTCCACTTTTGTTGAGAAAAAACATTCCCCGCTGGGTGATTCTATGTACAGTTCAGGGATTTTAATAAAACTTTGTTGCAGATTCCTACCTTTTGTTATTCTGAAGAAATAGCTGTTGGTTTGTCTGTGTCCATATACAGAGTGAATCTGAATGGAAGGGACTTCATAATTACCAATCAGCTTCTGCACCTGCAGGACTCTAATGGGGAGAATTGATGGATCTGCATCCCGTTAAGATGTGATTTCCCTTTGGAAGTATGTAATCAAAATTAAATTACTGTTGCAGGAGATGCCCAAAATTTGACTTGTATCTTAGGCTACTTTTACACTGATCCACGGCAAAAACACAACATAAACGCATATTTTACCATGCTTTTTGAGTGTTTTTTAAAGGACAAATTACTTAAAAACGGCACCATAAACACTTCTCAGATGAGTTTTTGAGGTGCTTTTCATGCGTTTTCCATTCAATGGGAAGGGCTGTTTTTGGGGTGTTTTTTTTTAACTCGCCAAACAAGCCCCAAAGATGCTGCAAGCAGGAGTTTTTACACCGCACCACAAGCGCAACTCCTCAGTGTGAAAACATACATAGATATACATCCACATACATAGGGAAGAAGTTTTCTTGAGCATTTCAGGCACTTTTTTAAACACAAAAATGCGTTTTTTAAAACTTTTTTCCCCCTTATTGAACCTGTGATCCAGCCGGTAACACACTTAGGGTGTCTGCATTCTGGAAGAAGTACAGCAGCTCCGTCAGTTCGACAGGGTTGGGAGCACTAGGTCCAGTTCATAATTGTGTGAGTTGTGCTCCCGCAGGTAGGGCGGTCCATTAATCTCAGCAAGCTGCCTTACCCTCAGAAATGCAAGGAAAGAAGTCCTGGACCCGTTTTGAAAATCGCGCCATAGCACAATGCAGTTTTGTGAGTGTGAAACTGCAGGTGTTTTGCTGAGGCGTGGGGGTGCTATTAAGAATTAATGGCACCCCCACATCATCTGCTACACAGCAGCACATTTCTCTTGCATGTCAGGAATGCGAGTATATGTTTGCACATTCCCGGCACACAATGGTGTGATCTTAGCCTTTAGACTAGCAATTTTCAATTGACTTGACTAACATACTGAAGCTGAACTCCAGCTAACACCTCATAAGCAGGTATGGCGAACAGTTTTTTTCTTTCTTTTGGGTAAAGGATTTATATAAATGAATAAAAGCTGATCATTGTAAAGAACCGTGCCAGTGTTAAATAGTTTATCTAAATTCTTTAACTGCTACTTTGCCTGGACAGCTTGGTCTGTTAAAGGAATTTGAAAAATAACAGACTTACAGGCTGGATCAACCAAGTCACATCAACGCATCAGTGAGCTGCAATTTAATAAATTGTTTTTGGGTTTAATACCACTTGAAATCATGGCAGAAACACCACATATTCCCACCCGGCCTCCCCGAAACGGGGCGTGCTCTTTCTCCCACTGTATCCAATGAACACAGCAAATTACCAATCAGTGTAGCAACTGCTGCTGGTACAATGTGGACGCTGTGACCAATCACAGCAGATCACATTACAATTGTACACAATGGATGGCACTCATTCATGCCTTCCATTGTGTACTATTGTGTTGATCTCTTGTGTTTGGTCTTCATGATCACATGGTACAAACAGAGCCAATCACAGCCCACTGTACCATGTGACTAGCTGTGGCCAATTACAGCTAACAATATTAAATGGTGAATGAATCAATTTCATTCAGTAAACATAATTTCTTATACCAGTGAAATTCACTAGTATAAGCAATCACAGTGTGTAAAAAAAAAAAAAAAATAATAAATAAAAATTAGATATCTCTCGAATATAGATTTATATATCTATATTGTACACCCCTTGAGGGTTAGGGACTGATGTGAATGTACAATATATACGTAAAGTGAGTGTAAATTGATGGCGCTATATAAGAACCTGTAACATATCTATCTCACTTCCCCAGAGCAGTACAGGGTTACTATGGTAACACTGTATTGCTTTGGTCACAGTATGTTAAAAAAATACTAAAACCTATAAAAGAAGAAAGAAAACAAAATACTTAAAAAAACTAAAAAAAAAAAAAATTAGCCTTGGAGGCTGTCAGCTTGTAGTTCTCAGTGAACTACCACGGCGCTATGGCACATCTCCTACAGGCAAGCAGATATACAGACAGATCTGCAGGAGACCTGTGCATTTATTATTATACAGGATTTATTATTTTGTCGAAAGCTGAACTTATCCTTAACGGTTTCCCAAAACAGTTACATTCAATGCATGCCATGAATATTGTCACAGTTGCTTGTGCTCTCAACTAAACCGTCAACTCAGCAAATGGCTGGTGTCAAGGATAGAAGGGTTTAGGTTTGCATTAAAAAGTTTGAAAATAAACTTTTAACATGACATTAACATGTATAAATGTATTTCATTTTGTAAAGCACTGCACAAACTGTTGGCACTATATAAATCCTGAATAATAATAATAATAATAAATTTAAAATGGTAAGGACTGGGTTTTTAAATACTTTTAAAAAGAGTAAAAAATAAGTGAAGTTCACCATTAGGAGACAATAATGGACATAAAAACAGGGTATTAAAAAGTAATTAAAGCCACTTCAGAGGGTGTTCTTTCTGACAATGAGAACAATGAAGCATTAAGTGTCCTCCAGGGGCCCATATTTGGATATGTATTGTCCTATACACACTATTCTTAAACACCACCTTTACTAATCAGTGTGTCATTAGAAGTGACAGCCACTAGCGGTGATCTCATTTTACGTACAATTCAAGCCGCAACTACACACGTGCAGGAAAGCACGAGGACAGAGGGAAAAAATATAAAAGGAATTGGTCTCATTTCCTGTGCTCGTTCCAGGAAACAAGAAGTAAACTTTCTCATCAATGTCCGAGTGTGATTTTCCTGGTTAGTGTGACCATAAAAGACCTGGAAAATTTTAGAAGCCATTCTGTTGAATCTACACAAATGCAGCTTTGCTCCTGACTAAAATGTCATTTCCCCAATCAGCATTAGCCAATTTCTATACTTTCATTATTTTACCTTACATTTTTCTCATTAACAAAAAATTACTATGATTAAACATAAGAAGATATTTTTAAAAATGTAATATCTACGGCTGACCAAGCACACACCCATGGCCTGAAAGAGAGAATACAGTTGATTCCTCCATCCATACTAAACAGAATGGAATAAAGAAACCCATGCTATTGTATTCTGCCAAAACACCCTAACAATTGTTGCATCTGAGCAGATGCAATCATCGTTTAGTGGACTATTTTCCACCTGACGCCTTCAATTTTAAAAATTGAATTCTATTGTGCCACATGATGCCAACAAGGATCGGCTAAAATTTGAGCTGTATATAGCAAGCTGAATTTAAAGTGGTATTAAAAGTTTAGTTCACTTCTGAAAACAAAAAAAAAACAAAAAAAACTGTATATGCAGATAAGGGACATCTGTAGACAAAAACAAGCTTTGCAGCTCTAAAGTAGAATAATGCCTTTGCTATGGGTGTAGGCCACCCTTATGAAGCCTGACTGAAAGCGGAGTTCCACTCACCTGTCAAAAAATAAAAGTCAGCAGCTACAAAAAC